ACCCAGGCTTTCCCTCTGGAAGCTAGGCCTCCCCGCGGCCACACACTCACCCCTGCCTCGTGTGTGTCTGGAAGGAAGGACCCGTGTCACCGGGCACCCACCCTACAAGCTATCCTGGCCAGTGGTCGGGAGCACTCCCCCACAGAGGCCCCCAGGGGTCCCTCCCCAGCTTTGGAGGCTTTGCCCCCAGTCCTCTTCTCTCTCAGTTCGGTGGCTGGGAGCATAAGTGCAGGACTTGGAGAGCTTCCTTTTTTGTTTGTTTTTTTGATAGAGACAGAGCATGAGTTGGGGAGGGGCAGAGAGAGAGGGAGACAAGAATCCGAAGCAGGCTCCAGGCTCCGAGCTGTCAGCACAGAGCCCGATGCAGGGCTGGAACTCACAGACTGGGAGATCAGGACCTGAGCTGAAGTCAGCTGCTTAACCGACTGAGCCGCCCAGGTGCCCCAGACATGGAGAGCTTTCTTTAAATCGTTGGTGAATTTAACAAGGGCCGCCTTTCCCCCCTGCTCACAACACCTAGGCTGCAGCGGCTCTCCGGGGGGCTCAGACCAGGGGCGCGCTAGCCTGCGCTCCCTCGGCGCCCTCTCCCGTCACCTCCCCTTTGGCCCTTTCTTGCCTCCACCCTCCCTCGCCTAGCAAGGCCTCCTGAGGACACGGGCTGGAAGGTGGAACAGGTGGAACAAGCATCGGGGCAAATCCAGGCGGCTGGGCGGCTGGGGGGCTGGGGAGGAAGGGTGCGCAGCGGTGCTTGTGGGAGCTCCTCACAGCCAAATCATGTGGTCCTTCCAGGGGAGGAGGGCGGAAGGTGCCCTCTGGCCGACTGCCACCTGGGCCCCAGGGGGAGGGCTGTAGAGCAAGTAAAAGACGTTGCAAGCCAAGTACCAACATGTTAGAAAGGAAGTTGCATCGAGAGGTCACTTCTCCTGTGTGACAGCTGGAGACGTGGGAAAGAGGCAAGACCATAAATCTCTGGAAGGAGATCCAAGGTTTCCGATCCGGGGTGGGCCCAGATGTTCGTTTGATAGTTTTTTCAGATTCTAAACATTTAGAAACGAAGGTGGAATGTTGTGTCGATTGGGGGGATCAGGCGGGTCCTTTGCAAGCTGAGCTCTCTCCCCACTCAGATACAGGCGCCCTATGACTTGTCTTTAAGCCAGAAAACTCCAAGGCAGTCACCTGCCCTTGTGTCATGGCAGGGACATCCCCTTTGACTTGAGCTTGGCAGTTAGGCCAGGCGGTATGTTCTAGCAGGGGAACGAGGCCCGTGGCGTCTTCAGGAGGCAGGCAAGCACGGCCCGCAGCTCAGGGAGCACTTGCTTGCTTCTTTGTGCTCCGTGAGGTGGCCTGGATCAGCACTGGGCGGGATCAGCTTCTAGGGACAGTCAGGCAGGAGAGGAAGGGACTGGAGATCCGCAGGGGGCCCTGCGGGGGAGGGAGGTGGAGAGGTGGGGTACTGGTCAGAATTTCCAAGCCCCGGATTGTGGTTTGTCTTTGATTTTTCTGGGAAAGAATGTGCATGAAGTTGAGCCCACGGAGAGGTCTCATGGAAGAAAAACAAGCTTCAGGATTGTCCAGAGCTGGGTCAGTCCTACCCTGCTCCCTTACCAGCTGTGTGATCCGGACAGTCCACCCCCCTTCTCTGAGTCTCCGCGTTCTCACCGTTGAGCTAATAACACCTGTTTGGAAATGCTGTTGTAGAGGAAAAATAAAAAACCATTTGGACACATGGTCTGTGCTCAATAAATAATAACTATTTCTGTTATTATTCAGAAATACCTTCTACCGCATACCCTATAAGCAGAGACTTTTCCGTCTTCTAGAATATGTGCAGTTCTAGGCTCAATTAAAATTTCCCTAAACTGGGCACACCGAACCTTCCTTGAGAGGCTGTCTGACCACGTCTTCTGGCTTGACAGCGTGTTAAGTCCTGGCCTCCAGCCCAGCTCTTACCCAGAGCACAGCTCAGTCAGCAGGAGGACGTCTCTGGCTTCTGCCTGAGAGCCAGGACCTGAGGAGTCCCGGGAATGGAGCTGCCGTTCTGCCAGGCCCTGTCCTGGGCACGTAGTGGGCCCAGGTAGAGGCCTGGAAATGGAGGTATGGGCAGGCCAAGGCCCTCACCCCTTGGGCTCCAGAGCGGGACACGGAGCGGGGCTGGCTCCCTTCAGGGTCCCACCCTCTAGGCTGCGCCTGTTGGAAAATGCCACATGGCCACGGGAGAGACTGGACTTGAGGAAGACGGCCTGCTTACTTACTGTGTCCACGTACTTACTGTGTCCTTCCCGTCTCCAGGCCACAGCGGAGGAGAAGAGCTTGATGGGGACAGGCGGGCTGGGCTCTGACTTCAGACTTGGTTGGATCCACTTTGTGGAACATCTGTGCGGCCACAGCACATAAAAATGTTTTCCTCTGGCAGCCGCTTTTATAAGGATGTAATAATATATGCGTTGCAAAAATCATTCTATTTTTGGTGGGTCAGCGTTTCCAGCAAGCTGACCCTGACCAGGTGTGGAGGGAGTCAGCAGGGGTGTGGGCAGGGGGGCTGTGGAAACACGTCTGTGTGCGCCAGGGCCCCTTGCCCGCACCCCCAGCCCATGTCTTCCTTCCCTTTTCCGGTCCCTGGTCCCTGCCAGGCTTTTCCTTGGGCTCGGATCCCCTGCCACAAGCGTAGGGACCCCTTGTGTCCTCCTGGGGAGTCAGTCTGCTCCTAGAGAAGACCAGGCCTCCTCACTCTCCCCCTACCCTCACCCCAGACCTTTTGTACCTTTGGGCGACTGGTGTTGTCCTGCCCTTCTGTTCCCTTGAAGGTTGATCGGAAGCAGAGATGATACCCAAGAGGTTGGGTGGCTGGTGTGCTTGTACTTAACCCTGGCGGCCCAAAGCCCTCTGCCGACAGTCCCAGCCTTACTTTGGGCTGTTGGCGCTCATTTAAGACGGGGCCCTCGGTGAGCTCAGCCTCGTCACTTCCCCGAGGTTGCCAGGAATTTAGCTCCTGCGCGGAGCTGGGGAAGGCGGCGAGAGACCGTGCTTTGTGGGAGGACAAAGGGTGTTCAGGAAACTTGACGTGGTGGGGAGTGGCTATCACTTCCGAGTTCAGGAGCGCTCTCGCTTCTGTTTGGTGGGGGCCCTTGTGATCTCTGAGGCTCGAGGCTCCTCAGGGTCGCCAGTGCCGGGGGCAGGCCAGATACCCCATTCCTGCCCATTTCTTGGGGTCAGGGTGTCGAGACCTTGCAAGCACCGGACCTCCAGCTTTGCCCACGGGTTTCTTAAAACCCAGCACCCTAAACTGAGTCCTGCCCTGCAGACGTGGCCGGGCCGGGCAGCCCGGAGGGAGAGGGGCCGACACCGCGCAGCTGGGCTGCCCCTGACCAGGCACCGGTAACGGTTCATCTCTGTAGCTGAAGTTGCGTGGAAGCTCTTGTGGCAGCCACATCACGTTGTCCTCAAGCTTGAAATCCTCTCGAAACCACGCGTCTCTTCGCAGGACTTGGTTCCCATTCTGTACTTGGTGAGGTTCACGTTGGAGCCGGAGAATGTGGTTTGCACTCACCCCAGCCAGCCGAGACCTGCCGTGACCCGGGTAGATGCCTTGACATCTTTGAGCTTCCGCTTCCTTGGGTTGCAAACAGAGGTCTCTTACAGGGACTGAGCGGAGTAGATGACCCTGCACTTGGCAGCTGTCGTGTCCCCGTACCAGCCCACGTCCCTGGGTTCTGATCATTTGGACCCTCGATGCTGTCACCAGGGCTGGTGTGGATCAGTGTTGAATCTCCAACTCAGACCTTCCTTTTTGGTGAAAGTAGGGTCAGTCTCCGCCCTCCTCCGGTGTTCTGGAATCTGTGCTGTGACTTTTCAGGGATGGCTGGTCCACAGAATCGGACCTGTCTGACCCTGGAAGCCTGATCATTTAAAGTGACTTGGGTCCCTCCTACCATCTGCTCGCTTCATCTGGCTCCTAACTGGGTCTCTTCTACCGTTTCTGGCATGAAAACCATTCTCTCTGATTAGAAAGTCAGAATAGGTGTGGGAAGCAGCAGAGACCTTTGACCTCTGAGCACACTGCCGCCCTGCCCTCCCCAGGCATCCGCCCTGCTCTTCTGAGCTCTGGCTGTCTTGGTGCTCCTGTCCTTACCTTTTCATCCTGTCTCGGGAGGACCTGTTTCACCCAACAGTGAGCAGGGCTGCTAGGAGTCTCCACTCCGTAACTCACCACCGTCCTAGGCACCCTGTGAGGTGTAGACAGGGAAGGCTCTCCTTAAGGAATCCACGGTCTTGGGAGCGAACTCTGCCTTGCACAGACGGAGGGGTAGGGGGTCCACACCTCGTGCATAAGTGTGCAGGTCAGGAATCATCTGCCATCCCCTCCCCTGCCTTCTTGTACTACTTTCAGTAAAACTTTGTCAGGACTTTAATTGGATTATTGGACCAGAACTGACCCGCCCAAGACCCGACTGCTGGGTCCCACCTCCTCCAAAACCCTACTTGGTCGCTGTCTAGGAATCTGGGTTCAGATCCTCTTGCTCAAACTGCCCCCGGCCACATGGCCAGCCCCGCAGGCTGTGCACTAAGAAGCGTCTGGGCCACGACCTGACACTACCTGTGTCACCTTGGGCGAGGCTCCTCAGTCCCCGGTCTCGGGGCTGCTGGCCCCTCCCTCCGAAGTCGCTGTCACAGGGCAGTGGAGGCTCTTGAGCAGTATGAGGGGACCCACAGCCTGAGCCAGTGTCTGGCCAGGGCCGTCCCCTCTGCCCTCCCTGCTGCGGCCTGGGGGCTGGGAGGGGGGTGCTCCGGAACGGGGCCTCTGGGCCTCTGCTGGCTGAGCTGTTGGTGACCCAAAGCCCGAGTCCCCGGTGCTGGAAAAGTGGCCTTGTCCCACCTGCAGGTGACTCTACAGCTACCGGCGGGAGCGACGGGCTGTGCGCAAAGCACAGGGCTGGCCTGTGCTGTCGGCGGAGGCTGCCGTGCGCGGCTCTGACGTGGAGGGACGTTCTTCTCTCTTGCAGATGGAGAAGGATGAGACCGTGAGCGACTGCTCCCCACACATAGCCAATATCGGGCGCCTGGTAGAGGTGAGTGGGGCTCTGGGCTCTGGGTCGCACCCCAGCGCCAGACATCCTGCCCCCGGGGGTGTGTGCGGGCCTGCGGGCCTCCTCCCCGGTGCGCAGCGCCTTAGCGGCCAGCAGCGTGTTTCTGTTTTGGCCCTTTTGCCCTGGGCTCGTGTGTTCCGAGCCTCCTGATGGGAATGCACGCAGGGCTCAGCTCCCGGGGCACCCCCTCTGTGCCCCCCAGCGCGTGCTCCCAGGAGGCTGCGCAGGAAGGCCTCGGTCCTGCTCCCCCGGCCCGCTGGGTGCCAGGAGAGACCTGAGCTCAGAGAGGAAGTGTCCCTACAAGGTCACGGGCTCAGGAGGAACTTCAGGAGGCTCTCCGGCCGCAGCTGCTTCTGCCTTCCCTTCCCCACGCTCTTTGGAGGAAAGGGTCCTCTCCGGCTTCACACAGTTGTTCCTGAAGTTGGTGGGGGGCCTGAGAGGTGGTGATGTCGTTTAGACTTGCTCCTGTCGTGGTCAGCGGTGGCCGCCAGTCCCTGAGTATTGGCTTCCTGGTGTCTGAAGCCTGGGAAGGGCTCAGAGCACAAATGATAGGCGGGGTCTTGGCCCCGAGGGGGCGTGGGGGTGGCTGGCTCACTGGGCTTTGGTGCGGTCTCACGCCTCCCCCCTGTGGCCACTGCGGGGACTGCAGGGGTGAGCCGGTGGAACCGGGAGGGTGTGGGCCTCAGGACTCCTGTTTGCCATCCTGTCTGACTGACCTCCCTTCCCAGGACATGGAAAATAAAATCAGAAGTACGCTGAATGAGATCTACTTTGGGAAAACAAAGGACATCGTCAATGGGCTGAGGTAATGTACCCCCAAAACATAAGCTTTGGAACCAAAAGACGAGGATTTGAATCCTAGGTGTGCTGCATAACACTTCTCTGTCACTGGGCCTCAGTTTCCTCATTTGTAACACCTGCTGAAGTACCCACGTCACGGGGTCGTTAGTGCAGATTTTGAAAGGTCAGACCCCTCACGCACAGTTTGTATTCTCAGTAGACGCCGGTTCCTTCCCTGCTGTTTTTGTTGTCTTGGGACTTTCACCTGGACAGGCGTTGGTGCCCTCGTCCCTGAAGTCCCCTCCTCTCGGTCCCCCGCCTCATCAGTTCCATCTCAGGAATCTGCCCGGACCTCACAACATGTGAGGGAGTGCAGCCCATTGGGCTCTGGGTCCCCCGGCTACTCCAGCGTCCTCCAGGGCTCTGCTGGCTATGGCCATGGTCCTGAGCCGCCCCTCCCCACCCATCTTCTGTCCTTGGTTCTGCAGCCTGGGCCCAAATGAAGGCTTGGAGGGACTCTCTGGGTCTCCAGAGGCCATGGGGGGACAGAGCAGGAGGCCAGAGGCCCACTGGGGGGCAGGTGGGGCGGCTGTGGAGTGAGCACTGGCCTTGAAATCAGAAAGCCTAGAGCCCGTATAAGTGCTGTCCACCCGAGCTGTGTGACCTTTGGCCGGTGGCTCCTCTACTTGGCCCTCGTCCCGTCAGGGAGGCAGGCCTGCCACAGGGGTCAGGTGAGATGGAGCGCGCCTGGCCACCGTGTGAGGCCCGGGTCTGGTGCCCTGCCCTCAGCCTCCAGCCCTCTGATCCCCCGCTCCATGTGTGAGCCTCTCCTTTGGGGCCAAATCCGAGGCAGGAAGCCACTCCAGGGGCCACGCTGACTTGTGAATTCACCCAGGAGACAGATTTCTAGTCTCCTCCTCCAACAGTTTAAAGTAGCGAGGCGCCCCCTCCGGGTCTCCATCTTCCCGATCTCCCACCCGCCTCTGGGGAACACGATCTGGCCCCCGGTGGGTCGTACTCCCCGACTCTGGCAACACTGCTGTCCTCTGGTCACCCCGGGGCCAGAGCGTCATCCTCAGCAAACACACTCCCCGCCCGGCCTGGCCAGCGGCAGGAGAACGAGGAGAGGGACCCAGAGAGCCTGCGGGCGGGTGGTCGAGACCGTCCCCAGCATCGAGCTCTGCGGCCACCCCTTCGGGCCGGAGCGCGGGGGCCGTGACGACACTGCCCTGTCTTCGACCTCGCGGGTCCCTGCGTGCCCGGCGCGCGCCCGCCCCGGCGCTCCCAGTGTGTGCCGCCCTCGCCTCCCGCCGCGCTCATCTGTGACCACTCTCTGTAGATCTGTTGACGTAATCCCCGACCACCCCAAGTTTCAGCAGCTGCAGAGGGAGCTTTCCCAAGTGCTGACCCAGCGCCAGATCCACATCCAGCCTGATAACTAAGCCGACGCAGGTACCCTGCCTGAGAGGCGTGCGCACCCTCCCCACTAAACAGGACTCACCAGCCCGCCACCGCCCCCGGACCAGCTGTCGCTGCGCGCGGTCCTTTAAACACCACTAACCCCTGTGTCGGCTCACGGCTGTGAGCGGCCACGTTAACGTGTAGACTCGGCCCTACGTAACACGGACCCGTATCACGCGTGTGTTGTGTGTGTCTCGCACGCCGGGCAGGGCTGGGTGTGGGGCAGAGAGGGGGTTTGGCCCTGGAAGAAGCCCCCGTCTGGGGATTAACTCTGCCTCTCCAGCAGAAGCCGCTTGTCTGCACCGCTCCCGTGGGCCACAGGGCGGGGGTCTGCGCACTGCCTTCCGCTCGGCCACTCAGGGCGGCCCGAGTCCACTGCGTGTGCCGTTATGGGCGGCCGGGGCCTCGGGCTTTCCCGCCAAGCGTCGCAGAGGCCAAGTGAGCCTCCTCAGTGGGAAAGTGACTGTTCGGGGCCGTGAGTTGAGAGGGCTGTGTCGCCCCAAACCTGAGGATAGAGCCCAGAGCGGGGGCCAAAACCCCCCTGGCCAGGCTTGGTGCGCCCCCAGACCGGTGGCCGCTGGAGCTGCTTGGGCCAGTAACCTTCTGCCCCTAACGAGCCGCGGCCTTCCTCTTAAACGCCTTGTGCTGACGGCAAGGAAATGGCCTCGCTTGTGGACCATAACCGAGAACCAGAGCTTGAGCTTGTGGTTGTGGCAGATACAGGTGTATGGAAGCAGTCGGTGTCCCGGGAGAGGAGGGAAACGTTTAACATGAGGCCCGTGGGGCAGGGCCGCAGGGCCCAGGGACTGGCCACCGGGAACCCGAGCCAGCAGAGGTTCGGCGGGATGGCCGGGCCGGGCCGTTTGTGTAACCAGGCGGCGCTGCTGGTCGGTCTGGGCTCCGTGCCACCTTCAGGCCTCACGCTGGGACCGTCCCGCTCCCGTCCCGAGAGAGCCTCCTTTGTACGGTGGGCCACCGTTGTGTGGTTTTCTTGGCAGCCCCTAGAATCTGCCAGATCCCTGTCCGTGGTCAGTCCCGTGGCCACCTGCTGGAGGCTTTCCGGCATGGGAACCCTCTGCAGCAGTGGGCAGCCTGGCGCTCTGTCCGTCCCACGTCCCTCTGTCCGTGCCGAGTTAGCACTTGCTCCGGGCATGAGTTTGACGTTGCTTGGCACTGACCCTCGCAAGCTGTGTTCCCGTGTCCTGCTCCTCATAGCCTCCGGCCATTCCGCGCCCAGTGTCTTGTCTCTGACCTGACTCTCACTCTGGTTCTAACTCGGGGACTCTCTGCTTCGTTGGGGGGTGGGGGTGAGGCCTGGTGCGCTCAGCCCGTCCTTCCCAGAAGAGCCAGCACCCTCGCAGGCCGAGGAGCCGTGTGAGCCGCCGCCACTTCCTGCCGGGAGCTTTTCCAGAAGCACGTGGCGGACTGACTGAGAATTGGAGCCAAGGCCACCACGGCTGGTGTCTGACCCTTCCTTGGGCCACCGCAGAGCCAGGACAGTCCAGGGCAAACGTTTGTTTAGAGACGCTCAGCCAGACGTGTCGGCATTTTGTGAGAGCGTTTTATTGTCTTCCGTGTCACCCGTGTACCATTTGGAGGCCGCGTCCCACGATTTTTCGGGGCTTCGGTAGCCAGAACTCAACCGGGGATGCTCTCGTTTCTCCTGGGTCCTGCTTCATTTTACTTTTGGAATCTGGGGATTTTTTGACTTCTCCTTCCCATCCTTTCTCACGGCTGATGCACACGGAGCTTGAGACGCCCGTGGGCGTGGCGTCCACCGCCTTCCTGCCGGGCAGCCGTCACTCCTTTCTTTCCACTGCTCTGAAACAGTTGGAAAGTTTGCACATAGTTTAAGAAGTCCTGGGCCGGTCGACACGTTGAGTCCGTTTGACAGAGTGACCGTTCAGGCCGTTGGCAGGGGGCGTTTCCCTGAGCCTCAGTTTCCTCTTCTGTGCTCGGGAACCCCGGTGGGACTCCTCCGGGATGCCGTGAGAGGGAAGTGAGAGGTGTGTGGGAAGCACTTCGTAAACCATACAGCCTCTGCGAGGGTTAGTGGCTGTTCGCTTTGGCGAATGAGGAGTGTTAACGCCGGCACGTGGGGCACTCACGTCAGCATGTGTCCACAGATCGGGATTTGCCAGCAGGGACCCGGGGCCTCTTAGCTCAGTCCCGTCCTGCCTCCTGACGTCCAGGCCGAGGGATTTTCTCGGCCATGCTCACCGCTGACGGCGGAGAGCACCTGCCCTTCCAGCGCCACCCTGGACGTGAACCCGATCTGCTCAGATGGCCAGGGGTTTTAAACGTTCGCTGAGTGGGGTTCCTCTGCACCCTGCACTCAGAGGGCGGGCAGCGGGCTGCCTCTGCTCGGCAAGGGTGCAGTGAGGGGGAAGCTTGATAGCAGGGTCCCTGCGACCCAGAGTCCATGCCCCTCTGTGCCCCGCCCCCCGCCCCGGCTGAGTCCGCAGCTGGTCAGAAGCACAGAGGGTCTTTGCTGCCTTGTGCTTGGAAGCCCAGAAGCCACCTTCTGGTTCAGGCCGACCTCGGGCCCTGAAGTGGATTGGGGTTCTGGTGGCTCCGGCCGGGCCCCCCAGCCTGGCGCAGAGGTGGGCGCCCGTCCAGGCGGGCCGCGCGCTTCCCCTGCAAAGGAAGCCCGCCTGGCAAAGGGCCGAGGGCTCAGGCCTTGGGCGCCTTGCTGGAGGCGGCCCCCTGCCCGTCACACGGGCTGATCAACTCTCTTCCCTCCGGCAGGTCTGTGCAGACTTTCGCAGACAAATCAAAGCAAGAAGCTCTTAAGAACGACCTGGTGGAGGCCTTGAAGAGAAAGCAGCAGTGTTAAAGCCCTGCTCCACGCTAACTGGACACGCCATGCGCTCGTTAGACCCCTTTCTTAGAAAACTCGTCTTCTGCTCCCCTCCCTCGCCCCTCGCCTCCCCCCCCAGGTCACGGAACAACGGCATCACCATCTCTCCCTGAGAATAAAGCCCAGTAAACACCCTCCTGTCTCTGAGGCCTCCTTCCCACCACGTTTTGCCATCAAAACTCTCCGTATTTCCACAGAGACCGTGTGTTTTTTTTGTTTGCCCCGGCCCCGTCTGCCTCCCTCCCCCCATTTATAGGCATAAAATACAGTCTGTCTGCCTCCCCTTCCCTCCCACCTTTTTGTTACATCGGTGTAAAAAATGTAAAACAAAAAAATTTTATGAACTAACTGTGGTGTGTGAAAGAGAGAAGAAAAACTGGAAATCTGAGTCCACGTGTGTTTGGGAGTTGCTTGGGGTTGGGGCTTGGGGGGACAGGGGACAGCTCTGGGAGAAAGCGGGTGGCCCTCGGCGATGTCCTGCACAGACTGGCCCCTGTCCCACGAGACCACGTGGCGGGGGTGCGGGGGTGGGGCCTGCTGACGGGCTGCTCTGGCCAGGTGCTTTTCTGTCAATTTTTATGGAATGCAAAAGGAGTTTTTGTTTTATTTTGTTTTTTTGTAAAGCTTAAAAAAAAATCTACATCTTATACTTGAGCTTCCATACTTAAAAAAAAAAAAAAAAAAAAAAAGAACAAAAAAAATGAATAAAAAGAAACTGGGACGCAGTCAGCACTGGCCTCGTGTTCTTTCTCGCCGGCCTGGCTTTCCAAGCGCGTGTGGCCTTGGCCGTGAGGGCTGGCCCCCACCGGGGTGGCGAGTCGGACAGAAGACGGGCGAGAGCCGCGCGGTGGGCGAGAAGGGGGGTCCTTGCGGAGCCCGGAGCTGCTGCTCGGCTCCCCGGCCCCACCCGCCCCGGAAGAGGGGGGCCCCCACCTTGTCATTCTGTCACTCTGGGTGCGGCCTCCCTGCACTGTCCCCTCTGCTCCTCCCCCTTTCATCTCCCGCAAATACCCACCGTAAGCGGGACGCTTCACAACCCTTCCGGACGGACCCTGCTGTCCCGGCTGACATCAGGCGGCCACGTGGCCAGTCAGCAGGGCCCACACCTGTTCAGTGGCCCCGGGGACGGGTGGTGGCCTCGAGAGAGTGAGAGCTTACAGGGCTGTCTCCGGGGTCCCTTCACGCCTTCGCTGTGACCTTGACAAGTCAGTCTCTCGCGGCCCTCGCTGGGGTCCTCCTGGGGCCCCAGATTCCAAGACTCCGAACCGTCTCCTTCGTTCTCGTCATGGACTAAGCAGCCACTGTGTGGACCCCTCTGCCGCCACGGGGGAAGCAGGCAGTGTGGACTGGGCCTCGGCCCCTCTTCTCTTTGGTGCCATCCCCTCCATGCAGCCTGGGTGCCCTGCAGTCACGGGGGGCCGCCACCCCCACCTGCACGACCCATGCCGAGCCAGGTAAGAAGTTCTCCCTCGAGAGACTCTGATAGCAAAGAGTCAGGACGGCGTCATCCCCACCGGGAAGGGGTCCTGTCCCTGAGGCTCTGGAGCCGGCTTGGCCTCGCTCTTTGGAGATGCCACCGGCTCACCTTTCCCTTCCCTCCTGTGAGCTCCCCGCAGCCTGCCTCCAGCGTCTCGTGTTGCGCGCTTAGCGCTTAGCCAGTGGGCCTCTGCTCCCGGAACCCGGCAGACCCCGAGGAGGCTGGAGGAAATGCCCCCCGGGGGAGGGCACTGCCACTGAACCCCCACCACGGGCCCGAGGGGCCACCGTCTACTCCCGCTTAACGGTAAGCAGGGGGCCGGGACGCGCACCCTGCCTGCCGGCCCCTCCTGCCCATTTTGGAGGATCTTTTTTTTTCCTGTTCTCTCAGTGATGAAGCCTCTAAAGAAAAATCTGCAAAATTTTTAATTTTTTTTAAGTTTTTCCTTTTTTTTTTTTTAAAGTCTATTTATTTTGAGTGAGAGCGCACGCACGAGCGAGCAGGGGGACGGACTCACGGGACTCGAGCTCAAGAAGCGTGAAATCATGACCTGAGCCGAAATCAAGAATTCGATGCTTACCCCACTGAGCCACCCAGGTGCCCTGTGGCTTTCGACTTTAAAAGCTCAACTAATGCTTCCTAGAATGAATAGACTATCATACACGTATAGGTCTTTGACCAGCCTAGTGAATGCAATCCTTCAGTTCCTGGTGAATATTAGGCATTTGGGTTACCTTGTAATGGTTATAAATGAGGAGAAATGTTGCAAGATGTAATGTATTCTCATACCCATAACTTCCCAAATTTAGTAATAGCTAATTTGGTCTTTTTTCAAGCAGTTTTACTGAGATAGAACTCATACACCATACACTTCCCCCATTTCGAGTGTACAAATTCAGTTCTGTGATTGGCGGTTACGTGCCCGTCTCCTTCACCAGACTGAGGGCTTCTTGAGGGACAGTGTTTAAGGCATTCACTTCACTCATTCATTCATGGAAACATTTACTGAGCACCTACTGTGGAAGGGGGATACGATGGTGGGATACACAGTCTGCCCATACTGTGGTGGGGGTGGGCAAGTGTTTTTGTTTTTTTTTTAATGTTTATTTTTGATAAGAGAGACAGAGCATGAGCGGGGGAGGGGCAGAGCGGGAGGGAGACCCAGAATCTGAAGCAGGCTCCAGGCTCCGAGCTGTCAGCACGGGCTCGAACTCACGAACTGCAAGATCATGACCTGAGCCGAAGTCGGACGCTTAGTTAACCGACTGAGCCACCCGGGCGCCCTGGGAAGTGATTAATAAAAATAACCTTTATGGAGCACTTACATGTGCTGGGCACAGAGATCCCAGTGGGTGACTGTATCCTCAGGGCTGTCACACGGTTGGGGGGCTGAGTTTTCGGGTGCATTGAGTTAACCCACAGCAGAAGGCAATCAATCCCCACTTTCTTTAACCTGATCAGGTATAGCGCATGCGTATGGAACAGTTAAGCCTCAGCACCTGGCTGGCTGTGCAGGGGTGAGCTGTGCGTTCCTCCCCTTTCTCAGCTTTGGGGACTGAGGGCCATACCTAAGCTATGGCTTAAAACATCCCAGGTTTGTGGCGCCTGGGTGCCAACTCTTAATCTCAGCTCTGGTCTTAATCTCGGGGTCATGAGTTCAAGCCCCGAGTAGGACTCCACACTGGACGTGAAGCCTACTTAAAAAAAAAAAAAAAAAAAAAATCCCAGTTTCCCTAAATGACCAAGGGGAACCCCGGGCTGGGAGGACCTGGGGCCTCATGCTGAGGATAGGCATGCTGGGCCCTTCCTTCTGCCTTGTTGGAGATTGCCACCTGCCTGCCAGGCAGCTTCCTGCCCCCCAGGATTTGGGGGGACACCGAGGCCAGGCACTGTGGCAAGGCATTTGCATACACAGCATCTCCTTCAATAGTTAAAATATGAACCGCCCAGGCCGGGCTCTTTGGGGGTGACCGGCCCAGCCTCCTGCCCCCATGAGTGTCCAGATGGAGAATCCCTCCCAAAGACAACTGATGTGTGGGATGCCGCTTTCTTGGCCGAGCCTGGGCCCGAAACCTAAAGGCAGAACTCGACTGAATCAGGCGGGAGGAAGGGTCCAAAGTGGGAGAGCTCACCCCTTCAGACCACACCTAGAGGTGAGGGCCCCACCACACCCTGCCTGCTACAAGGTACAGAGGTGTGTGCCCAGTGGAGAAGTCCACCTGAGCACCGCCCCCCCCGGACCCCACCCACCTGCACGCACGCCTGCCAGCGCGGCGGAACTAATGGGTCCATCAGACTGGCCCTTGTGCTTTCCGGGAGGAGCCTGGGGAGGCCCTGGGCATCGGAGAAGCTCGTCATTTACCCACCAGGCGCTTACACATGCCAGGCGCTGGGGCATGGGCCTACAAGCCCATCTCTCTTAACCACCACAGCTACGTCCTCCATCAGACAGGGCAGGGCACTCCCCTGGGCACATCCATCAGGCCGGGGCTTCCTGAAGAGGAAGCAACCATGGCTCGGAGCAGACTGGGCAGTGCTGGAAAGCAAGAGCTAGCACCCCAAAGACTCAGTGGTTCCCACGAGGAAGAGACTACGTCACCCACACCACACAAGGGCTTGGAGGCAGGGCTGTGAGGTTTCATCTCTTAGCCCCCCAGCTCTAACTCAGGCCCACACTTGGGACTCATATTGCCATTCCGAATGCGCCCCCGGTAACTGGCACCAAGGTCAGGACCCCGGGTGGAGCCAGGTGCCGGCTGGCAAAGGGCACCTGAACCAGGCCCAGGCCAGAGGCAGCCAGGGCCTGGGGCCTGGGGCCCCTTTGGCTGGGACAAGGCCAGAGGCTCGAAGTGGGAAGGGAGCCTAAGCCCAGCAAGGCCGGGCCGCTCCTGAGAGCGAGGGAAAGCTGGACTGCACACAGCCCAACACTCCGGACCCCTGTCCGGGGAGGGGACTCGGAGGGCCCCAACCCCCACCAGGTGTGGGATGGCCCTTGCAGCAGAGGGACATGATGTGGTTCAAAAAGCTGCTCGACCTTAAGTCTGATCTCTCAAGGTCTGTCTTCCATCTGTAAAACGGCCATGCTAATTACACCCACTCGACAGGGCACAGCCCAGCCCAGCACACAGGAAGCGCTCAAGTCACGTGCCAGGTACACACAGGACCCCACGGGTATGACCCAGGACAGGACCGGGGGAGACTGGTCCTGCTTGCCCTCGCTGCCCACCTGAGCCTGAGATGCCCCTTCGCGGTCTCCCCAGACCCCAATTCCTGCCTTCTCTCCCCTGGCCACACCCAGGCCACCTGCTGTGAGCCGCTGTCCCCACGACCCTGTCTCCGGTCAGTCTGGCTTTCAAGGCCTTCGTAAGCGGCCCCATCTTGGGAGCAGCCCAGACGCTCAATGCCAGGCCTGTGCACACGCTGTAGCCCTTTCCCGACTTTCCTCTGCCTTCACGATTCAGCCCCAGGGCCTCTCCTCCACGAAGCCTTTCCTGTTGAGTCTCCCCATTCTTCTGGCGCTTTGTACCTTCCGGTCAAAGCCCTCATTACCACCAGGGCCCGGCAGCCCTCTTCCCTCCTTGATGGCGAGGACCAGAGCGGGTTCACCCCCGTCCCTGACACACCACACAGTATGGGCCAGTGGACGCAGCACTCGGCAAATACATGTCGCAACAAATTGGGGCAGTGGCAGTCCCTCTCGACAGAGGCGATGGGCGCCACTGCCGGACTCCTTTCTGTCCCCGGGGCAGGAAGAGGAGATTCAGAGAGGCTGAGACCTAGCTTCTCTCCCTGACGGGCCCTCAGGCACCCACAGGGTCATGGCCAGTAAGAAGGAGGCCTCAGAATGGGATCTGGGAGACAAACTGAGGTCGGGGTCCAGAACCAGAGCTCACGGCTGGGCCCTGCCCTCCTCGCCTCCCTCCCCATTGTTCTTTCACCTCCTTCCTGCTCCCTGCAACATTCCCCACCTCTCCCCGTTATCCCCTGCTCATTTTCTGCATGTCGCCTCCTCCAGGAAGGTCTCCCTGACCTGCAGGGAGATCTGGGATGTGCCTCTCCTCCAACTGAAAATTACCAAAGCTAAGCTTTATTAGGCTCTTACTACATGACAGACTTTGGGGCTAACCTCCGTTAATTACGCCATCCTGGAAGGAAATACAAAATGGTAATGTCGTCATCCCACTTCACAGATGAGGTAACAGGCGCAGACAAGCTTAAGATGCAGAACCAAGGTCTGTACCTAACTACTCTGCTTCTTCCTGAGCACAGAGGAGCCGGGACCCTGTCAGAGCATCGTCCTCGCTGCTGTGTCCTCACCATGAGAAGCAGGTGAGAAAACCAGAGGTCCTCAGGAGGCTGGGCGATCTGCTCCTGCTCGGCTCTGCCACATCCGGACCTTTAGGCCCCCACCTGAGACCCGGCAGCTGGGGCCCGGATCACCATCCACCGCTGTCGCCCAGAGCAGCCCAGACCCCAGCACCTCAGGAATGAGGACAGAAAGAGGCCTCGCTGGGAGGTACCATTTACTGGGCTTCCGGAGTCACCAGGATGGCCCCGGATGCACCCGGCTGCACCTGCGCCCCGCTCCGGGGGGCATGCAGACAGACGGAGAGAGGGGAGCTCGTGGGCGCCAGCTGCCTTCTGGGAGGCCAAGGTCTTGGTTGCAGGCCCTCCTCGAGGCTTCCAGGGACAGGAGCCTCAGACACTGGTGTGTGTCCCAAGAGGGTGGGGGACTGGCCCTGGTGCCCCTCTCACTCCTCACTCCCTGAAGAGTCGGTCGGGGCTCCCGGGAGTCAGCCCAGAGATTTCAGAGGTGGGTGGGGAGGCAGCTGGGCGGGGAGCTCAAGGCACCCCCAGCCTCCTCCACGATCCAGTCCACGGTCAGCAGCCCCGTGTCTGCCCACAGCTGTCCCTTCCTGGGTGTGGCATCTGGAGGTCCCGGTTTGTCCTGGGCTCGGCCTGGGTCCCTGTCAACTGTGGAGCAGGGGCTGGCGCTCCGCGGAGGTGGCCGTGTTCCTATACACCAGGAACTGGATAGAAATCTGGAGGGGCCGACGTCAAGGCCAAACGGAGCAGAGATTGGGACGGACATGACCCGGCTCCCTCCAGAGCTGCTCCCTCTTCCTTCCCAGTCACCCTCACTCTGAGAGGCCAAGGTCTGGAGCTGCAGCCCCTCCTTCGAGGCTCTCAGGGACAGCTGCCTCCACGTTCCAGCCTACACTCCTCTGGCCTGGATGGGCTGATTTCCCCCTTATTCCTCAGGGCCTTTGCACAAGCTGAGTCTGGATCACCCCTCCCTTGCCTCTCTGCGTGATTTCTTCTTCTCCCGGGGCGGGGTGGGGGGCTGTTTAAATTTTTTTTTTTTTAATGTTTATTTATTTTTGAGA